AAGGAGACTTAGGCAAAACTTGGGGCATCCCGCTGATTGTAAGCTTCAAAAGTAACAGTTCAGGAAAAAGTTAGGGATAAGAAAAAGAAGAAATCTTTAAATCCCCGCCATGAAAATCCTCAATAGCAAAAACAAAACTAAATGTTATAAGGAAGCAGTTACTGTCATCTCAAGAGTCCATTGACTTTTGAACCATCACCATCAGTATAATTCCCAACTTCTTAGAACCTGAGCGCATAGTCTAAGTTAACTGAGCGTAGGAATGAAGATCATCATGAAGATTAGGTAAGCACAAATAAATTTTGAGTCTTTATCCTTTATTTCATAAATCGTGAACCACACCACGTTACAACCCTCAAAAGACCTAACTGAAGCAAAGTTATTTTGAAAACATACTACAACAAGGTTACGTAAATTGACTCCAAAAATATTTTTGTAAATCATTTGTTTTGGTACCACACTTTTTGCTTTACCTTCCACTATAAATGTCTTGAACCACCGTGTTTTGACCAGTGACTCATATGCTTGACATCATTCCAAAAATGGTTTTGATTTCAAAAGTTACATGAACTTTGCATAAAGATTACCATGTTTGAACGGATACTTTTGTTTGCAAACTGACTTTCCTCTCAAGGAATTTTCAAACAGTGGAGAAACTTGGTCGGTGATCCTATCAGGGTAAAGTTCCTTTCAAATCCTGTTGAGAATCAGTTCAAGATTTGTTATTTAATGCAAGCCCTTCTCAGAATTAGTTTACTCATAAGATCTTTCAAGACTCATATTGGGGCAATCCTTCCAAACGTACACTAAAGCAATCATTACCAGAACCAGTCAAGCTGAAGCAATGATTAGTTCATCTACAATAGTCATATAATCTGGGGGCAACTTACTTAAAGAATCCCCAAGCAATTCTCCATCCTTTTTCCAAGGATCATCAATTTGATACAATTTACCAATGTGACAGAGATGTGTTAGCAATAACATCTTTATTCCCCAAGCAGAATGGCAGTGATTTCTGTGTTAAAGAATCAGTCTTCCAATCTTATCCTCTCCCCAAAAGAGTCAAGCCATGTCGTCAACATATACATTTGATCATACATCATAACAAAATTATATACTAGGCATAGCAAGAGAGTTTCATCCTCATTTGCATTCACCATAGGTCGTGTTGCTATCCATGTCTTACATTATGGTTAAATTCTGACTTACTTGGCACCTACCAAACAGATACTCATATGTCTTATCTGATGTTCCACCAGATTTGACTTTGCTTATCCGATTGATTTTCCGGACATGTCTTATATGTTCTGACGTATTTCCATAACTCTCTTCTTGTGTTATCTAATGTATTTCCAGATATTTCTTTGCAATTCTGATGTACTTTCAAAATTCTTTTACTTTCTATCTGAGGTATTACCGGGTGTGTTTTTCTCTTTGATGTATTTCTAGATTGAGTTTTCTTTTCTCAC